GTTTATTACCGATCCTCCGCCAGGACGATGCTGTGGGGATATTATTTGAGGTATTTCGGTATATTTTCGGGGTTTATTACCGATCCTCCGCCAGGACGATGCTGTCGAACAAATCGCCGCCGGGATCCGCCATTGGAAGAGGAGCGCATGCGCGCCCGGGCCCGGCTCTGCGCCTGCGCAGTTTCCGTGGAATCCTCTTAAAGGGCCTATGACCCACCTTTTTAAACAGGACCCCAGTGCAACTCTCAATGTGCAGCGGTAGTGTCCCTGCCTCTGAGGCAGGAGGTCTGAGTTCCAGTCCCACCTACTCCTCAGGTGTGCAAATAACATCTCTGAGCAGGCTGATTAGAAAATATCTGAGATAGTCCCCACTTTACAACATCAACTGAAGCTGGAATCATACAGCATTTAGAGTCATACAACCCAGAAACAGACCCTTCGGCCCAACACTTTTTTTTCCTTTATTCATTCACAGATGAGGGCGTGACTGGCTAGGCCCATCCCTAATTGCCCAGAGGGTGGTTAAGAGTCAACCACATTGCTGTGGGACTGGAGTCACATGTAGGCCAGACCAGGTAAGAATGGCAGTTTCCTTCCCTAAAGGACATTAGTGAACCAAATGGGGTCTTCCTGACAATCAGCAATGTATTCACAGTCATCATTAAATTCTTTATTCCAGATATTTATTGAATTAAAATTCCACGATCTGATGTGGCGGGATTCGAACCCAGGTCCCCAGAACATTATGTGTCTCTAAATTAGCAGTTCAGCGATAATACATCTAGGCCATTACCTCCCATCTCCTTTTGTTTTGTTTTCCCCTTTCTAGCCAGCCCAGACTCGACATTAACTGACACATTTCCCAAACAGAACTAGTGCCATTTGGTCCGTACACCTCTATACTTTTCCTATTCATGTCTGTCCAAATATCTTTTAAATGTTGTAATTGTACCAGCCTCTGCCACATCCTCTGGCAGTTCATTCCATATATACACCACCCTCTGTGTGAAAAAGTTGCCCTCAGATCCCTTTTAAAATCTTTCCCTTCTCACCTTAAACCTATGTCCGCTAGTTTTGGACTCTCCTACCCTGGGAAAAAAGACCTTGGCTATTCACCTTATCCATACCCCTCTATAATTTTATAAACATCTATAAGGTCACCCCTCAGCCTCCTCTGCTCCAAGGGAAAAACTCCCAGCCTATCCAGCCTCCCTTAAACTCAAACCTTCCAGTCTTGGTATATCCTTGTAAATCTTTTTCATACATTACCAATTTAATAATATCCTTCCCCATACCAGGACGACCAGAATTGTACGCAGTAATACAAATCTTCCTTCCAAGATGGTGGACCTGTAGGCCTCCTGAGCTGGAACTCCTCCGCTCCGTCTATTTCTTGTCTTCTTTTTTTCTCCATTCATTTTGTTTTCCCCTTTCTAGGCAGCCCAGACTCGACATAAGCCCAGCGCGGACTCCCAGCCTCGAGGTGAAGCTCAGCGCAGACTCCCAGCCTCGAGGTGAAGCTCAGTGCGGACTCCCAGCCTCGAGGTGGAGCCCAGCGCGGACTCCCGGCCTCGAGGTGGAGCCCAGCGCGGACTCCCAGCCTCGAGGTGAAGCCCAGCGTGGACTCCCAGCCTCGAGGTGAAGCCCAGCATGGACTCCCAGCCTGGAGGTGAAGCCCAGCGCGGACTCCCAGCCTCGAGGTGAAGTTCAGCGAGGACTCCCAGCCTCAAAGTGAAGCCCAGTGCAGATCCGTCTGCTCCATCTGCTTTTATTATTTTCTGTCCATTTTTCTGCTTTAGAAGGACTGTAATGCTGAACTTTTAACTTCATTTCTTTACTTTTCTTACTTATACCTAAGATTTTTGTACCTAGGCAATTTTGTACCTAGGATGGCATTGGATATGGCAACTTTGTACATTTTTCACTGTACTTCTATAAACCTGTATTTGAGTATATGTGACAATGAAACCTAATTCTAATTCTAATTCTAAAATGTGGCCTTATCAATGTCTTGGACAGCCTTAATATGACGTCCTAACTTCTCTATTCAATGCTCTGACCAATGAAGGCAAGCATGTCAAACACCATCTTCACCACCCTGTCTACTGTGATGCCACCTTAAAGGAACTATGTACCTGCACCCTTGGTCTCTCTGTTCGACGACACTCCCCAGGACCTGACCATTAACTGTGTAAGTCCTGCCCTGGTTTGCCTTACTAAAATACAAAACCTCGCGTTTATCTGCATTAAACTCCATCTGCCACTCTTCGGCCCATTGGCCCAATTATTTGAGATCCTGATGTACTCTAAAACAAGCTTCTTCATTGTCCACTATGCCTCCAATTTTGGTGTCTTCCGCAAACTTACTAACTATATACTCCTGTATACTCATCCAGATTGTTTGTACAAATGATGAGCAATAGTGGACACAACACCGATCCTTTCATGGACTGGTATGAAACTATGCAAGTAGTTAAGACTACAAAGATTTATGAGATGAAGCCTTTTTTGAATTTTCTTATATACAAACAAAGACCAGGAGCAGGCCACAAATAAAGGGGACAAAAATAACATGCCAAAAATTTTTGAAAACACGAAGCCCAGTGAGAGGGAGAACTGATGAAAATCAGTATTAGAAGGGAAGAGATTACAAGGTGTAGAGCTGGATGAACACAGCAGGCCAAGCAGCATCAGAGGAGCAGGAAAGCTGACGTTTCGGGTCTGGACCCTTCTTCAGAAAAAG